CCCCCCCCCCCTTCATATCTGATATCGAGAGTCGATTTTCGCTCCTCATTCGTCCTTGCCCTCGCCCTCGCCCTCGCCCTCGGCGAGAACCTTCTTCTCCTCGAGCAGCTTGGCGAGGTCGCCGTTCTGGTGCATCGACACAACAATGTCGCAGCCGCCCACAAACTCCTTGTCGACGTACAGCTGGGGGATCGTCGGCCAGTCCGAGTACTCCTTGATACCTGCGTCACCGGCGTCAGCGAAAAGAAGAAAGAAGAAAAAAATTCATCTTGCAGGAGAAACGCACCCGACCGCAGCTCGGCGTCCTCGAGCACGTTAAAGGCGGCAAACTTGGCCGGGTCGACGCCCTGCAGGCCGAGGACCTGGATGCTCGCGCGCGAGAAGCCGCACTGGGGCGTCTCGGGGGTGCCCTTCATGAAGAGCACGACGGGCGCCGAGGCGACGGCCTTGTCGATGGCCTGGCGCGTCTGGTCGGAGAGGAGGCGGCGCTGGGCGGCTGTGAGGAGGAAGGGGTTCGGGGCGCGGAAGGCGGAGGTCGCCGGGCGGGCGGCGCGCAAGGCGCTCTGTCGGGGGTTTTTTAGTCAGTCTTGTTCTTCGACGACGGAGACGCTGGGGCGCTGGGGAGACGTTACAGAGGCGAGGAGGGATCTTGACCACATGTTTGGGAAGGTGTGTGGATGTGCGGTGAGGGTACAGGCTGGAGAGACAGGAGACTAAAGGACGATGGGCGCCGTTGATGAGAAATCGCCCGAGGCAATGGTGTAAAAAATACGGGTGATGTAATCGGCTGTCGGTGGTACGTTGGTCGGTGTGGTTCGGTGACGGCAGCTTTGGCCAATCGGCTTTGTTGCTTTGTTGCTTTGTTGCGTTGGACGACAGCTTACTTCATCATTGTCTTTGGCCTTCGAGAACGCGGCCTTGACTGCCGTTGCTTTTGACCAAGGTACCTACCTAAGGTAAGGTAGTACCTACTAAGGTAAGGTAGGTACCTATTTCTTGACCAGAGCAGAGAGCTCTACCTTTCCATGACTCGAAAGATCTAAGAAAGCCGCAGGCCATCCATCTGAATCCCGCCATTGGCAAGTCGAACAGACCTCTCAAGCAAGTGCTGAAGCTGACCCCACCAAGACCCCTCACCACCACATCTCACAACTCACCAGATCACATGCCCTTTTCTTTCCGTAGCCTGACCCAGCACATGATGAATCCGGCCGATGCCGTGGCGGGCGCCCTCCAAGACGGCAAAGCCCACCTGCTGCTCGCCTGCACCGGCAGCGTCGCCACCATCAAACTCCCCTCGATGCTGGCCCACCTCGCCCGTCACCCGTCCCTCTCCATCCGCATCATCCTGACGCCCTCGGCAGCGCAGTTCCTCACGGGCACATCAGCCGAGCAGCCAACCGTCGAGTCGCTGCGCCGCCTCCCCGGCGTCGACGGCGTCTACCTCGACGCCGACGAGTGGGGTCCCCACGCGTGGAAGCGCGGCGCCTCGATCCTCCACATCGAGCTCCGCCGCTGGGCCGACCTGCTCGTCCTCGCGCCGCTGTCGGCCAACTCGCTCGCCAAGATCGCCGCCGGCCTGTCCGATAACCTCATCACGTCCGTCGTGCGCGCCTGGGACACGTCTGTCCGCGCCGACGGCACGCGCCGCCGCATCGTCGCCGCGCCGAGCATGAACACCATGATGTACACCCATCCGCTGACGGCGCGGCACCTCAAGGTGCTCGAGGAGGACTGGGGCGGCCGCGACGGCTGGTTCGATGTGCTGCGGCCCGTGTCCAAGGCGCTGGCGTGCGGCGATGTCGGCGTCGGGGCCATGAGGCCGTGGGAGGAGGTTGTCGCGCTGGTCGAGGAGAGGCTTGGGTTGTCGGCGGAGGGGGCATCGCGAGGTGGGAGGAATGTGGCATAACTCGTTTACGAGGTGGGGTTGCTTGACGACTATTCAAAGTATTTACCTTCATCCGCCTGGTGTCACGACAACGGATGGTACTTTCTACTGGAAATGCTCAGCGTGATTGCATGTTGGCCTGCTATTTGATGAGAACTTGAGGGAGGGCTCATTTCTCATGAACACCACCAATATACTGTTTATGGCTGCGATGTGAACGTAACTCGTCCAGACCCAACTCCTGGTATGACATGATCCAGTATGATATTCCAAACAGGAAGGCCTGACTCGGATACTCTACCGTGAATCCGAATCATGCCAAGCAGGACGAGACGTAGTAGATGGTGAGGTGTTATTTTCTTTCCTTGTCATTCGAAGAAGAAGAGGAAGAACGAAGGAAAACGGACCGGTCAAGAATATGCAGAGGTAGAAGACACAAGATTGAGAATATGCCATAATCATGATCGCCAGAAAGCCATGCATGTTCTATCAAACACCGGCATGACGGCCACTCGAGGGAATGTCTATAAAAACATTGGGCATTCCCATGATCCTGCCCAACTGGAGTTCCGGGTGCAGCGCCATGCCAGCATGGAAGCAGCGACTGCCATGGCACATTCAACCATGTTCGACGGTAAAACCACCAAAAACTGGTCACAATGGGCAGATGGAGCTGTCACCTTGATCAAAGTTGATAGTATGACCGACAGTCAAGCAATGGGAAGAGGCCTCCAAGGTACTTGATCTACAAAGCGCAGGGCTACCGAATCATACTCTTCTACGACAGCAGTCTCGACAATGTGAGTGACGGAGGGCCACGCGTGGGAGGTAGGCGCATGCGTGGCTGGGATCTTCAGACTTATTACATCGCCACAGGCTCTTCGGACGAGACTTTCTTCTGGGTGGTATCGTGAGTCTAACGCAATCAACGTCGGCACAAAGTTTGGCCATTTTTGGCTCGGCAGATTCATGACACCTTCGATCTTGAGTACTTCGATGCCCTCGTGGCCCTGCATGTAAGCTGAGAGGAGTGCATTCGGCGTGAGGAACCTTGCAAAGCAAGAGATTTGCAAAGCAAGAGATACTGGACGCGTGGAAGGGAGGGGTATACATGGACATTGGACTTTACAGATTTTACCGATTCGTCATGGCAGGACGACTGATGAGCGATCCTGGCCCTTCGTATGGGACAGCAGCGGTGAGGAAGGAATCTGGTTGCCTGGACTGAACGTGTTTGTTGCCGTCATGACAAAGCCTGGCTCGCTCCCTACCTTCGGCCTTGCGGAGTGATACCCGGTGTGGTTCGGGTTGGACCGCGATGGGAACGCGACTACGAGCGACTACGAGCTGCCAAGCATGGCGATTCGTCATGGTGGGCGGGTTCGCCTCGGTTGCAAGTAGAATTTTCGGAGATGGATCGTAACGAGATGGATCGTAACGAGATGGATCGCAACGAGATGGATGTAACGACTGTATAGTCGGACCAGGCCAGCCAGCGATTGGGGCACGACGTTGAGCGTGCGCCGGCTGCAGAGAAGAGCGAGAGGGTGGGTTGTGGCTCAGCGGCCGCGTGGTGTGGAGAGACTCACAGGGCGGATGCTATTTCGAGAGCACCAGCCACTCTTCTCTTTCTTGGCCTTCCGTTCATTCGTTCGCTGGAGATACAGTAAGTAGTAAGGTTAAGGTACCGCACGAAGGCAGAATGACAGGACAAGCGTTGACTCGTCAGTCGCGTGCCACTGCATTGGCGGTTCCTGGGCCGCCCTTGAGCCGCCCTTGAGCCGCCCTTGGGTGGGAGCCGCCCTTGAGGTGGGTGACCTTGAGGTGGCCTGGCAAGCCTGAGTGGGTGAGGGTGGGTGGTGGTGGCGGGCGGATGGGGAGTTTCCCGGCCATGGCGGCGCATGCTGTGCCACCACTCCACTGTTCGGATAGCGCGTCCATCCACTGAAAGTTTCCGTGACTCGCATCGCTCTGGGTGACGACGGGCCAATGAGCCACGGGTGTCACGGCACTTTGAGCGCTGTTCGTTTGCTCAGCCTCGCGGCGTTGGAGATCGCCCTCGCCTGTGCTCCCCATTGTCCCCCTACGTACGTACGTACCTACGTTAGGTAGCAGGCATCGTGTCATTTGAGGGTTTTGGGTTTCGCGTCTGGTACATAGCAACGGGCTGCAGATTAGTGCATGTCCATTCGCCTAGGTACCTAGGCAGCTAGCTACCTTGCATGGGTGCCTACCTTGCAAGTAAATCAGTAGGTGGATGGATCGCCGTGATACCACGGTGCGGCAGACAGGCTGGCAACTGGTCAACAGGCTGGCAACTGATCAACAGCCTGGCAACTGGTCAACAGCGTGAGAGCAGCCGTCACCGCACATGGAATGCCGACTCGCCAAGGTCTCCGACGTCACCTGGGGTCCAAGAGGGAACTCGTGTGTTTCAGCTCCTGGGACATGGGATCCTTGGAATTAAAGCTGTGACCGTGACCCACCACCATCTGTCCCATCCACACTCACCCAGCCTCTCAAGCCTCTCTCTTGGTCTCCTGGTCTCCCAAGTCTCCCTACCCTCGCTCCCAAGCAACCAGCAACGGCGGCAATCCAACCAGACACCCTTGTTGCTGTCCGTCGCCCATCGCCCATCGCATGCCCGCCGTCATCTGCTACGAATTTCATCTTCATCAGCTTGAAACCCCAGAGAAGGCGCGCACCCCCTAATCGAAAGGGCCTCCCGCTGCCGCATTTCTCTGGTACCACTCGACCACCTTTGACCCTCCTCGATCCCCATCGCATTACTACTTCTCCCCAACCGACACGATCCACCGGCACCAAGTCGCATCGCATCCGATCCGGTTCCGTCTTCGTCTCCGTCTCAAGAAACCTGGCAGGGTCCCTGCGCATGAGTTGACGGCTTGTCGCGCATACTGTACACACGTAGCCCTCTCATCGCAACCTCGGACACCCCCCTCCACCCAGCTGCGGCGCGCCAGCTCGAGAACAATCAATCCCATTGACGGACCACCGAGAAGCACAGCGACAGACAGCGCGCACAACGCAGCAATCCAAAAGACCACCAGAGTATACACACGGCCCATTGGCCTCAAACACCCGTTCCCCAGATCGTCTTGTCACACCCAACCCCCCCCTTGTGAACCATGGCGTATAATCGTTTAGGCAAGTAGGAACCTTTCCTAAACTCTCGTATTCCCTTGACCCGTTTCCCACTCTCATACTTTGAGAAACTGCCTCCATCATCACCTGCCCCAACTTGACTGAAACCCCACCCTCCTCTGGACGCCGCCTTCGTCCTTGTGTGAAACCAGCAGACAGTAAGGCTGTCTCTGTGTTCGTCCTCGTGATCCAACTCTCACCAGTCGGGCTTCGCCTCTGGAACATCTGCATGGTACTTTCCACTCCACAAATCTAATACCCGCGCTCTACAGACGACGATTTCTACAACGACCGCGTACGGCGTTCACCTTCACCAGGCCACCCCATGCAGCAAGGCTACCAGCTAGACGACCGTCCCTATGGGCGACCAGAGCAGCTCGACTACCCTCAGACGGGTCCGTCTCCTGGCGCTGTGCCCGGCAGATATGGCACTCCGAGCGACCAGCTTCAGCTGAACGCCGCCGTGAGTGCGACATGTTCATTATTTCAGGCAGCACCAGATCAGCTGACCGTCACTGCCTCTCCAGCAATCAGTAGACAACCTCAGCAGAAACAGCCCCTTCGCAGACCCCCACCAACGAGGCCCGTATCAGACAGATTACGCTGTCAACCCCGAGGCCCATCACGATGCCTACTACAACCAGCCCTACGAGCCTACTCCCATGGAGGGCACGCCGCTTGGCTACGACCCCGGCCAGCCGGGCTACGACCACGACGACCTGCGGCCGATGCTGCCCCACCAAGACTCTCACGCGAGCGAGCCATACCAGGACCAGCCCACGCCGCAAGGCGCCGGCGGCGGCATCAAGAGGTGGAAGACGGTGAAGCAGGTTCTGTTGTATCGGGGCAACCTCGTACTCGACTGTCCTGTTCCCCCCAGACTGCTGAATCAGCTGCCGCACGGCGAGCGTGATGAGTTTACGCACATGCGATACTCTGCCGCAACGTGTGATCCCGACCATTTCTATGAGGAGAACTTTACTCTTCGACAGAGGCTCTTCTCGAAACCGAGGCACACCGAGCTGTTCATTGTCGTCACAATGTACAACGAAGATGAGATTCTGTTCGCGCGCTCCATGATTGGTGTCTTCAAGAACATTGAGTACATGTGCAACCGCAAGGAGAGTAAGACATGGGGCAAGGACGCCTGGAAGAAGATTGTCGTCTGCGTCGTCAGCGACGGTCGGTCCAAGATCAACCCCCGCACGCGCGCGCTCTTGGCCGGTATGGGCGTGTACCAAGAGGGCATTGCCAAGCAGCAGGTCAACGGCAAGGATGTGACGTCTCACATCTACGAGTACACCACCCAGGTCGGCATGCGCATCGAGAAGGGTGTGGTCCAGCTCGTCCCGAAGCAGCAGCCCGTTCAGATCCTGTTCTGCCTCAAGGAAAAGAACCAGAAGAAGATCAACTCGCACAGATGGTTCTTCTCTGCTTTCGGCAGAGTCCTCGACCCCAACATTTGCGTTCTTCTCGATGCTGGTACCAAGCCGGGCGGCAACTCGATCTACCACCTCTGGAAGGCTTTCGACCTCGAGCCCATGTGCGCTGGTGCATGTGGTGAGATCAAAGCCATGTTGGGTACCGGTGGCAAGAACCTGCTCAACCCCCTGATTGCGACACAAAACTTTGAGTACAAGATGAGCAACATCTTGGACAAACCCTTGGAATCGGCCTTTGGTTTCATCTCCGTCTTGCCTGGTGCCTTTTCGGCGTATCGCTACGTTGCGCTGCAGAACGACAAGAAGGGGCAGGGCCCCCTGGAGAAGTACTTCGCTGGCGAAACGCTTCACGGCTCGGATGCGGGCATTTTCGAGTCCAACATGTATCTGGCCGAGGATCGTATTCTCTGCTTCGAGCTAGTGACCAAGCGCAACTGTCACTGGATTCTGCAGTACGTCAAGTCGGCCACGGGCGAGACCGATGTTCCGGATACGGTCACCGAACTGGTTCTGCAGCGACGACGATGGCTCAACGGTTCCTTCTTCGCCGCCATCTATGCCATTGCTCACTTTTACCAATTCTTCCGCTCAGACCACTCCTTCCTCCGAAAGGTCATGCTGTTCATCGAGTTCATCTTCCACACCATCAACATGGTCTTCGCGTGGTTTGCCGTCGGTAACTTCTTCCTCGTCTTTAGTATCCTGACAAAGAGTCTCGGCGGCGATGAACTCCTTGGTAGGACCGGTGAGATTCTCGGAGTTGTCTTTACATGGCTGTACGGCGTTGCGCTCTTCACTTGCTTCGTCCTCAGTATGGGCAACCGTCCGTCCGGCTCGAGGTGGTACTACACAACAATGGTGTACTTCTGGGCGATCATCATGGTGTAAGTTTTGATGCGAGCTTGTCACTCTCTAATCTCCCAGCTAATGACTCGTGCAGATACCTCATGTTCGCGGCCATTTTCATTGCCGTCAAGGCTATCATGGCAGACGTCAACGACGGTACCCCTTTCAGCTTGGGTGAACTGTTTAGAAACCCTGTTTTCTACACGCTGATCGTCTCCGTCATGTCGACGTACGGCATATGGTTCCTTGCGTCGTTCCTCATGTTCGATCCCTGGCACATGTTCACCTCGTTCGTCCAATACATGTTGCTCACGCCAACCTACATCAACATCCTCAACGTCTACGCCTTCTGCAACACGCACGATATTTCCTGGGGTACAAAGGGCGACGACCAGGCAGAAAAGCTGCCGTCCGTCAGCACGAAGGACGGCTCCGGCAAGACAGACCTGCCGGATGAGTCGGATCTCAACGCCCAGTACGAGCGCGAGCTCACCGCCTTTGGCTCCAAGCCCATCAAGGTCGTCCACACCCCGACAGAGGCACAGAGAGCCGAAGCGCAGATGGACTACTACCGCGGCGTCCGTTCCATCACGGTCCTCGCCTGGATGATTACGAACTTTGGCCTCGCGGCTGTCGTTCTCAGCGCGGCCGGCCTCGACCGCATCGACCCGAAGCACCAAACCGCCGAGGAAGAGGACCCGAACGCCAGGGCCAACATTTACATGACCGTTGTCCTGTGGTCCGTGGCCGGCCTGGCGGCGTTCAAGTTTATTGGCGCCATGTGGTTCCTCGTCGTGCGCATGTTTAGGGGCGTGTAAGATTTTGGTCTCCTCCTTTTCGATTCTGTACACGCTGGTGTTCTCGTACGTTCTTCTTCTTCTCCCTGCTTCATTCTGGAGACGAGAGGATTTTTGGCTGTTTGGTTTGATTTTGTTTTGTTTCAGTTGCTTCATTCATGACTGGGCGTGGACAATACCCGAGACGCGGCGAAAGAAAGAGAGACACAATCGCAAGGGGGGGCCACCCTCCCGTCTCTCAACGAACAATACATGGTGCATGGCGAGCAATGAAAGAAAGCGCACGCTTGATTGTTTAGAGGGGAGGATCGAGTCAGGGGGGGGGGGGGGGGAATACGAAGGACTCGATGGATTGGATGAAGGGGTTGAGTGAGCTTGTTGTTGTACCTTAGCTGTTCTGGTTGCACAGTTGTCCGGCTTGACGCCTGGGGCTGGATTTATGAAGACGTCAAAATCAAAGACTTGGCTCCTTTTTCGTGAATACTGGCTTTACTCATCATATATTGACGTAGGTTCTCGCACACTTCTCTCTCATAGTGTCTCGCTCGTGCCACGAGGAATCAATAGTCACAACATGGCGATATTCACATGACGGTGGCATTCTTCATAGTGGTCATCCGCCACCGACGGCCTACTGCGAACATCGTGAAAACTGTGTATTAGGAACCCGGCACGCAGACCCCGCGCCTAAGACGCCACCTCCCTCCCCAGCGTGTTCAGCTCCTGCTCCAAGAACGCCTGGGCGTTGAGCAGGTCCGTCGACCCGTACACGACCCTCTTCCGCGCGCGATCGCCGCCCGTCCGCGCGACCCACTCCTGCAAGTTGCCGTACTCGTCCATGCTGCCGCCGCCGACGGTGAAAACGATGGCCTCGGAGAAGCCCTGACGGCGCTGGCCGAAGCTGGCGCCCGTGCCGGCTCCGGGGCCACCGGGACCGCCCTGGCCCGGAAGACCGCCGGGGAGGGCGGATCCTGTGCCGCCGGCGCGCACGGAGCTGGGCGGCGGCATGGTGCCGCGGGCGTTGGCGGAGCGGGGGTCGAAGTAGAGGTAGTTTTCCGTTTTGGCGATGGCCGTGCTCGAGGCCGTCGAGGGGTCCATGATGCTCTCGATGATCTTGGTGATGGTGAAGTCGCGGTCGGCGGGCAGGAACGTCTTGATGCCGCCGATGAGCGACTCAAAGTTGGAGGAAAGGCCCGTGGGCACGCCGCTCTCCTTCAGCCGGTCGGTGAGACGGCTGGATATGGAGGAGAAGCGCCCGAACAAGTCGGTGCTGCCGGCCTGTTGGGGCGACGGGTTGTTGATGGTGGTGAGGTTCGTCAGCTTTGTCGTCGATTTCAGTCTTGTACATGTCAGCAAGAGCCCTTCCTCGAAGTAAAGACAGGAAAATAAGCGCCGTGGATGGATAACGTACTGTCGAATATATGGCAGACACTCGACGTCCGCGCCCGCGGCCGTCAGCGCTTCGACGAAGCCCTCCCACTCCGTTCGACTCAGTTCGGCCTGTTCCGAGTTGGAGCTCAGGAAGAAGTAGATGAAGAGTCGCAGCTTGTCGGCGGCTTGTCCCTCATCGCTCTTGATGAGCTCCATCATTTGCGCCTTGGTCTGCTTGGTGATGTTCTCCTCAAGCTGGAAGTAGTTGTCGAGCTGCCGATCTTTAATGCCGGTGAGAAGAGCAGCCAGGATATTCATGTGCATATCCAGCACGGCCTTGCGCTCTCGTAATTCGGGAAGCAACGTGATGGCGGCTTTGAGGTGCTGCGCACTGGCGCTCGTGTCATTTTGCAGGTCTTCGAGATCGGTCACACCGCTGTCGACACGGTTAGTAGAGAACCCGAGACGCATGATCCCAGTTTACTGACGTCTTGGCTGTGATTTGCGTGGCCTCTTCCTTGTACTTCGTCAATTCAGAATCAATGTCTTCGGCGACCTGGGGAAACGGTAACAGGCTATTTTTTCTCCAAAAGAAGTCCTCGTTGGTCAAATCATAAGTCTTCTTCGTCTTTCCCTCATCCACAATGGTGATGCGCCTCTTCTCCATAGAGAGCACGTCTTGCACCAGGGACTGGTATGTCCAGGAATGCGAAAGCATTGGGAGAAGATCCACATCTCGGTCGAGAATGACCAACACAGGGCGTGATGTGGGTGTTGCTGATGTGTTTGACCGGGCGCTTGAAGAGAAGAGGTTGTCTTTCGAGTTGAGGATGTGGTCGCGCAGTTTCCGGTCGAGCTTTGCAGATATCATCTCAGCAGCGGCTCCCTTGGGGCACCGGATGATGGGAATAACGCCTGGCTGGCTGTTAGTTCATGCGTCTCAAGAACGGCACAGTGGACCCACCCATGGTCACGACAACGCTGAACAGCCGATTGACGATGGTGTCTACCAGCTCATCAAGCTTCTCGTCTGTCGTCTTGGCGCTGTTGAGCGCCGAGTATGCCTTTGGGATTCCCAGCCTGAACAGATCAGGCTCCTCGACGATGAAGTTGAGGTATTGGTCGAAGAGTTGGGCAATGTTTTCTGATGTTTCGGCAGCGGCAGTCTCCGCGGCGAAATCCTCCAGAGCTGCTCGCGGAATGCCTCCCAAACAATTGATCTGTGGGCTGGTCAGGGGTAAGATCTTGACGGGCCTCGCAGCGTTAGACCTACATATGCTGGAGAGTAGAGCCCGTTCTGTAGATCGACAGTGATTTGCTTCAGGTTCTGAGGCGTTGGCTCGACAAGATAGATGACGGGAACGTCTGGGATCGGGTGTCGCGAGGCGCCAATATGTCTATTCCGTGGTTAGCCTTTAGCCATGCCGCAGTCGAGCGTCTGGAGAACCACAGTACGTGTGGAGGGTAACGCCCAGAGACCTGAGGTTCTGAACCGTGAGGACAGAGCTGCAGACATCACGTCCAAGGTCGTCGAAACAAAGGACCTTCCATATCGGTTCGCCCTCTGCCGTGAGGATGGATGACGGTGCGATCGCGCTCACGTGGGATTCGTCGGTCTCGGTCGTATCAATGGCATCGTTCAGGTTCAAGATCTTCTTGAGGGAGGCTGCAATGCATTAGTGTCTCTGGAGTCACAAGGACAGTGCTGAAGCTCCGATGTACTGACCGATCTGGCGGTCCCTCAAGGAGGTGCCTTTGGATGCCATTGCAGATGGCGAAGAGCTATTGAGCTCCGGCTGGGATTTGGATGGTGATTAGTGTAGTGTGTGTCGCGCGTGAGAGGAGCTATCCTGGTCGCCCCGATGCAGAAGGCGAGGATTCTTGTGTGAAATTCGGCTGGCGCAGGATCGAAAAACAAGGTCGGCCGTCAACATGAACTGTGACCACGAGTTCGCGACTATTCGAGGCCAGGCATCTAGCTATCCCGCCTCTAGCCTCCGTGTTCTCAAGGTCGGATCCACTGAAACAACCCAGCCGTCAGTCATCTGCTTTGCGCAGGGGCGAGTGGGGTGACAGCTGGATACAGCGGTACAGCTTTTACCTGCATAGCACCGACCCACTTGTCCACAATCGATGTCTTGTGGCGATCCGATATATGCGTTGCTGCCTGGCATATCGGGCAACAGTCACCTTTCTGACCTCTAACAGTCATTGTCGGTGCGAAAGCGCGACCGACTTTTCCCCTTCTCACCAACCATCTCTTCTCTGTAAAACCGCGACGCCTTTCCATCAATACGTTCGCGGAAGCCATCGCACGCGACAAGTCGACCTACACCGCGTCTAAAGGCTTGCTTCTGCTCGTATAAACTGATTCTTGCCGCGTCGTTTCCTGGCCACAGGAGGCTCTGGGAGAATCGCAGAGAACTGCTCATTCCACTTCGACACGTACTTTCTGGCGCCCATCCAGCCGTCATCACACAGGTCACGCGCAAATCCCTTTCGGCCCATTCATCCATCAACCCTCTTTTCTCGCGGTCGTTTCCTCTCTCACTTAATCTTCTGCCATCAATCATGTCCGCTTCTGTAATGATTGCCATCAAATAAAAGGGAAAGCATTTGGAACTCGTCGCGCGACCAGCTCCAGCAACGGAAGTGCGCAAGAGCGCGATTTGAGTCGTTGGGAACAACGTTCGCAGGGTACGGTGACCTCCTCTCCCCGCTTGACTGACCATTGCCCTCATAACCCCCCTCAAAACCCTCTCTCATCCCCCTTCCCAAGCCCACCCGCAAAATCGCGTTTTCTGGCCGCTGAATGTGCTGCACCTCTCGACAGAGGTGCAGCATCGTCAAATTTCCCGTGAACAGCTTTGCATCTTGTTTGAGAGTCTCTTTGGTCTCTCGCACCCTGGGATCTCGCAGCTTTAATTGCAGGTTCAACATGAGGACGAGCCAGGCAGCCCAACAAGCTCGCGCTTGATGCGCGAGGAGAGCAGGCAGGCTTCGCGAGTAGAACCGCCTTTTAAACTCGTCTGCAAAGTGCAAAGCAGGCAGGACGCGTTCGTTGGGCGGCAGCTCCAGGATCCAGTTGGCGAGGATCGGCCAGTGGTGTTGGTGGGGTGGCTCGCTGCGATCATGGAACCAGTCAAACACACTACTGCTGCAGGTCAGGATTGACCCAGACACCGCTTTTCGTCCAGGGCTGGTATTTGCAGCAGGCTCTGCTTCGGAATTGTTCTGCAAAGGCTCGCTTTTGGTGCACCTCATCAACTTCCGCTGGGGTCTTTGAGCGGATTTGACAGATGGCTGCTAAAAAAAAAAAAAAAAAAAAAAAAAAAGGCCGGCAATTACAGCACTTCTCGAAGAAACAGTTGCTTGAGGTGGCTCTCATCAGCAACTCGGTGCGAGGGACAGACTCTGGTCAACCACCAAACTTGTTGGCCACGGGTTCCCACGACCGCAGCCTTTCTCCTTCCAGCGTCGTTCTCCTCGTCTTGGAAACACTGACTGCCTGCTGCGATTTCCCTCAAGCCTCTTCAGAACTGTGTCGGACCAATATGGACTCCAGTGCCGAATGCGATTCGCCGACTCTGCCTTCATTCTTCTTGCACTCATTCCTTCCCTCTTGCACAACTTACAGATCAAAGAGTTCTGTTTTAGCAGAAGCTAATCGCCTTTGTGCAGATTTCCCTCCTACACAGAAAACAATTCATATAATCCTGACGGATTCCCCGTCGCTGGATTGCCTTTTCCTTGGTATGCAAACTCTCCACACTCGTTCGAAGAAAAAAGCCCAAGACCCGAACTCTGTCCATGGTCGATCTTGACGCCGCTGAACACAATGCTGACGCTGCACCCTGCACTTTCAGGTACCCTCTCAGCAATTTGTAAGTGCCGCTGTACTTTGGATCCACCAAACTCTCTCGCCCAAAGGCTGTTCGCCCGTCGCCCCACCTTTCTGGTTCCCGCTAGCCTCTTTCTCGCGTGGTACATTGTCTACGCCTGTGCTGATTGGCTCTTACCCAGTCCCACATCTGCGAATCATCTCATCCATCGCCATCCATCTGCGGAACCAATCAGAGTCTTCTTGTCTTTCTGGGCAATTGCTCACGTCAACTTCCATCAAGTTGATTCACGATGCAAGACTGGCAGAATACTGGCCAGACAGGCGCAGGCCAGGATCAGAACGCACTCTGGTCCAATGCATACAACTACCAAGATGGTGCCAATCAATTCGAGAATGTCCAGAGCTGGTCACACCCAATGCCAGGGCAGGCTGCGTACTCCCAGCTCGGCTCCTCGCATCAGGGACAGCCAACCATCTCCAATGATCACGACACCATGTCAACCTTAGGCCACGGGGGGTTCCATCACGGCTCCAACCAGTTTGCGCTCGATGGCTCGTACTCACAGCCGGCACAAGATCAGTCAATGCAGGCTCTAGATAATTTCCATCAAGACATGTACAGCCAGCCTGCGAGTCTTGGCCAGCATCATAGCCAAGCTGCCAGTAATGGCCATGGCCATCCCCAGCAGTTCTCTCAGGCTCCTTACCAGTACCAGGGGCAAGGTGCATCTGCCTACAACAGCCAGGTGCCAACATTTTCAGAGCCCCAACTGATAACGCAACAACGGCAGCAGAGCCACACGCCTATACAGCAGCACCCGCAATTCGATTTGAGGCCACAAACATACTCTCCAGCGCAAGGCTTCTCTCAACCCCAACCCCAACATCAACTCCAGCCACACCTTCATCAACAGCAGCAGCAGCAGCAGCAGCAGCAGCAGCAACGTCCTCTTCAACCTGACAGAGTATTCTCAGGCTCACCCCATCCGTACCAGGCCCAACCGATCGCTCCACAACAAGGCACGCACCAGAACGTCCAAGCTCTACCCAACCCATCACAGGTGCCGTATGAACAGGCCCAGTTCATTCCTCAGCAGCAGATGGGGTACTCTCATCCAACCTCAACGGCAACCTTCCAGCCACTCGCCCGCCCACCTACCGAGCTGCAGCCACAGCCCCAATCTCAAGTGCAACACCAAGCCTCGGCCGGCTTTTCAGCTAGCCCTCAGCCGCTGGGCCAGCAATCCCTGGTAGGCGCTGCGTCCTCTCAGACGGTGTCGCAAGTTGGCTTTCAGGAGTCACCGCAGGCCGAGCAAGCAGCCAAGAAACGAAAACGTGCTGTGAAGAAGGAGTCAGAGCCAGAGCCCGCCGGTTCTCCACGGCCAGTCATCTCAAGAACGGCATTCGACAACACGGAGAGTCTCGTACCCCCAACAAGCACAGATGAGGAGCTGGCCGCCGTTGTCCAGTTCGCCAAGCGACCTGCTGCTGCGAAGAAGGCTTTCCCTCTTGTACCCGGTGCACACTATCTCATATCAACGGAGACGGCCAAACTGCCAACCCCTAAAAGCTACGATAGATTAGCCCCTCTTGTCGCGCTGCCATCGCAGAGTGGGAGACGTATACTTCCTGGTGCCAATCATGAGCTCCCCTGCGAAATACAGGGAAAGTTTACAGACAAATACAAACCGTCTCTGAACTTTGGAGGAAAGCCGGAAGACAGGGAGAGAGAGGCAAAGCCCTTCATCGACCAATACCAAAAGGAAATGAAAGCGCTTGGCAACCGGAAGCCTAAATATGCCGATTACCCCTTCACCTTCCAGGAGCAACTAAAAGCCGACGAAGCTGCCAAGGCCAAGGCGCAGCGGAAGGCGCGAAAAGAGGAGGAAGAAGAACGCAAGAAACCCATACGACCCGAGGCCCGTCCAGTAGACCCAGTAAAGGCTGCGGCATGGGATGTGCTCGGCATCGTGTACATCGATCCATCTGCTGTTCGTACCAATGCCCTGATCGCTGGTGCCGTGCAAAGTCTCGGCGAGTTCTTTATCAAGTTGAGAGCCGCCATGACCAAGGCCAAGCAGGAGGTCGATCAGGCGGTCAAGGAGAAACGGCCAGAGAGCGAAGTGGCCCAACTGCAGAAGGTTGGTGAGCAACAGAAGGACATGTTCGTCAAGGTCCTCGACGCCGCCCACAAACATGGCGATGATGCTGTGCTGGAGAACCTTGGCGGCCACCAGAAGGGCGTTTTGAGCCTCGTGAATCTCTTGATTGGTTGCATCAAGGCGACCGACTACTCTGGCCCTCTACCCAAAGCCACACTTCGATTCATGTCTAATATCAACTTGACGAAGAAAGTTGCCGACGCCGTCAACTTTGAGACGGTCCGGAAGAGATTCGCAGACAAGGGCGACAGCGAGGTCAAGGAACTGATCAAGACAGTGGCATCTCGCATCAAGAAGGAAGAGCCCGTCAATGGAGCGGATGCCAAAAAGCCTGCCGCTAGCGCGCCTGTTACCAAACTCGCCAAACCTGGCGTCACCAGCAAGACGCCTGTTACAGCATCGCCCACAAAACGACCTCATGAAGACGACATAGACTCCCGCCCCGGCAAAAAGTTGAACGTCGAGGGAACAAGCAGTGTCCTCGGTGCCAAGGTTGGCACCAAGCCGCAGATGGGCAGCAGCCTTCTCTCGAAGCTTGCGGGCACTAAACCCCGTCCCGCGAACTCGTCTACTCTAGCTGGCAAGAACCGACTGCTCAACAAGTCCGTGATCAAACCAGAAGGAAGCGGAAACAGCGCGACTGATGTCGCCAAGTCTGGGCCCATGCCAATGGATATTGACCGCGAGCCAAAGAAGGCAAAGCCGGAACCTCGCGCTGCTCCGGCCAAGGCGGCCGCATCATCCAGCGCTCTCTCGAGCATTGGTTCTCTTCTCGACTCCATCAATACGCCCAAGCTGGATGCACAGGCATCCAAGAAGGATACCAAGCAGAATGAAGTCCCCGAGACACCTGAAGAGCAAGCGAAGCGTCTGCGGAAAGAAGCCCGTCGCAAGCTGCGCGTCACTTGGAGGCCAGAGTCAGAGCTCGTTCAAGTCCGCATCTTCCACAAGGAGGCGGCAGAGGACCAGGACAACATGACAAGAGATGCAGCCGATGACCGTTCGGAAGGTATGATGCTGAAGCAGCGTGGTAACTACACGGAGGACGACGACGAAGATGATGAGCTGCCCTACCGCCCCTGGACTGACCCAACACCGACGGACCTCTCGACCATTCCCAAGGACTTCCGAGACAAGGCTTTCGTGACGCGCGGCGGCACCCAGACTTTCCACACTGAGGAGCAGGACTCCATCAAAGAGCGGGAGGGACGGGAGTTGTTGTTTGTTTATACGTCAATTTCTGATATTCCGCCAACCCCCAAGTCACCCGTTCCCGAGCCATCTCTTCCCGACTCGGGTGCCAAGATTGGCCACTTGCCGCGCGATGATCCCAAATACCAAGAAATTCGCAACCGGTGGAACGACATTGCGAGCCAGGGACCTGATGCGGCGACATACTACGCCGCCAAGCGTCTGCATCAACTCAAGGATGATCCTGCAGCCAAGATCGACTCGCTCCTAGGCAATCTTGTGCCAGCACCTCAGGAGCCGACGGCGGAGACGTACAACTACAACATGACACCACCGCAACAACACGCGAAGCCTCTCTTCCCGCACGCAACGCAAGTGCCACCAATTTCTCATGTTCCCGCTCCCGAGCAGGTTCTCGGCCTTCTTGCGTCGGAACGAATGAGGCTGTGGCGCTCAAGCGATCCTTACAGCACAACAACGCCCAAGACGCGTCGTCGTCACGACTATCCCGATCCCGGATTCCAGGCCATGGTGGATGCGCTTGAAGAGCTATTTGCAGTCGCAAAGGACTGGCCGTTTCCGGCCACCACGCCTCCCGCATGGCTGGCTAACAACGAAGAGCGATCGCGTGAGTGGCGCACAGGGTTTCAACGAGATGCCACCTTGCGTGCCAAGAAACAGGCTGAGGAAGCTGCCCGCCGTGAGGTCGCGAGGCAGGCACAGCAACCCTCCGCCAGCATTCAAGCCGCGGATCACCAGGGTCAGGCCCGCCCGCAGAGCAACGAGGAGGCCTGGGCTGCGTACTATCAGCAGCAGCAGCAGCACGAGCAGTACGCGCAGTACATGGCTCTCCTTCAGCAGGCGCAGCAGGGCGCCAACGGGCAGGGGCCGCAGCTGGGCGATGCTCAGTTGCAGGCTCTTCTCGGACAGATCAGCCTGCCTCAAGCCCAGACCCAGGGCGGCGGCGGTGGCGCATACGAGCTTAACCCCAACGACCAAGGGTACCAGCAGCTGATGGCGCTCTCGAAGCTTCAGCAGCAACAGCAACAGCAACAGCAGCGCGGGCGGGAGCACGGTGGTTACGAGCCGCCGCACGATCCGAACGCACTGGACTACGACGACCTGGACTACCGTGATCGCGGCGAGAGGCGCGACAGCTTCGAACACGACGAACGCGAGGGGGGCCGGCGGGACAGAGACAAGAACGGCAAGCGCAAGGGCAACGCGCCAGGCGGGGCGACGTTGGCGCCTCATCGGCCGGCGAACAAGGCGCTCATTGGGACGAAGGCGTGCTCGTTCTGGCAGCAAGGCAAGTGTGCCAGGGGTGATAAGTGCACCTTTAGGCACGACAACTAGGCCGGCGAGCAGAGCGAAAGGGCTGCGGAGATGGGTGGAGGGGGTTGAATATTTTTCTTGTTCTTTTTCGTTTGTCGAGACGGGCTAGCACATACCCCCCCCCGTTCATCATGATCATCATTATCAGCACCATCATCATCATAATTGGCGCTGTATCACGGCGCTTGGCTCGGCTGCATTGCATTGCGAGGACCTGGAGGATGCGCGTGTGCGGCTCACGCGACCGATTTGTTATTGTTCTCTTTGTCTCCTCGCGGACCTTGGAGCATTCGGCAGGCATATCGAGAGACGTCCCCCGCGCGGGACGGTGTGTTATTATAATGTATCAGCTGCATGAACATGCCATTCGTCGAATGAGGGAGATGCGCGCAGATGACGAAAGAAGATAGAATCAAACATCCTGTTGACAATATGCGTACCATGCCTGCCCCGTCTCGTCTTGCTGTGACAAGACGTGCCCTCGCGTGAGAGGTCAGGTTGGCGTAAACGCAGTGCGGCAAACGGCGGCTGTTGGGTCATATGGGCCAACTTACCAAGGCGTTGTTAAGGAGCTAGCTGCATGCGCATGGCTCCTTCGTCGGGTGGGCAGAGATGATGATGCCCGGCGAGCGGTCTGCAGTGTCTGTTGGTGGCGCACCACCCAGCGAGGCGAACCGGTCTGGCTGTTCCGGCCAACAAGAAGCGCGATGCCTCGGCGCAGCCGCCATGATGGGGGGCCCGTCTCTTTCTCTCCGTCTCTCCCTGGCTTGTTGGTGGTCTTCTCCCTCGTCGGTGTTTCTCGCCCTCTCGCTTAGTAGTGTCATGGTCAGTCAGTCCCGGTCAGGTCAAACCGGGCGGCCGCATCTCGAAGGCTGAGGCGCGAGATTCGACTGAAGGATCAGCCATGTCCGTCTTGGAAGACCCAGACGAGGCAGGCTGGAGCTAGCGACTGCGGTGGCACGTTGGTGGGGATGGGGGGGGAAAAAAAAGAGACGCGAATGAGCAGGGTCTGGGAGATGAATAGGGGGGTGTCGGGCGATTGGATGCCGGGACGCGGTCGACGAACATGACATGGCTTTCTTTTCTCCCTCCCTTCCTCCCCCCTTCTCGGGGAGGACGGCATGTTGCTTGTGGAGACTTGAGTTGGCTGCGTCTGCGACGTGTGGTCTTTTGCCGGGGGGAGGGGGGTTGTAGTTGGGGCGACTTGGGTCTTGAAGGTTTCCCTCAGGTGGAAAGCTAGTCTTGTCATGAGGGAAAGTCAAGAAGGTCCATCGGAGGAAGATGCCGACGTCTACCTTGTAGGTCAACGAGAAACAACTAGGGGTGACAGGAGAGAGCCAGGGGTGCATTTGGTGTTTGATTTCCAGGGCATCATCAGGGGACGGGACAAGGAGATCAGGAGATCAGAAGATCCATGGGGGGGGCGAGCGGGCGCTGGGCTTGGCAAGGCAGGAGGAGCTCGGACGAACTGGAGCTTGGACGGAAATCTACCTCAGACGAGGAAATGGGGGGAGCTCGGGGCGAGTTTACAGCACCTACAGGGCACCCGTGCTCAGGCGATGGAAGGCTGCCGTCTGAGCGCTGTACCTGTATGCAAATTCCTAGGTGCCCGCGCGAGGAACACTGGAGCGGGCTGCGTGAGGGGGGGCATGCCCTGAAACCGAAGAAAGGGGGTGCCCTGGAGCCATGAAACGAAACGCAGTGCCTGGGCGACCATTTGGTTCCTTTATTTCGCACTTTGGGAAGGTCATAATGTGGAGGGAAACATGGGACTGAGTTTGTTGTTGACGAGATTTGCATGACTCCTTTGAGCCCCGACGCGACGGAGCGATGTAAGGCTGGCGAGGGAAGCTAGAGTCGCAGGGCTGTCTGGTGTACATTACAGCGAGAGCCAACTGCTGGAGGGTTGCTGGAGGGTTGCAACGGTGGGCATGCAGCCATGAGCAGGAGCCCGATGAGACGTTGTTTCCCATTCTGGCCGACCAATGACTATGCATTCACTCTCACTTGCCTGAAGACGATGAGCTAAGTACCTACCTGCCTTGCCTGCCTTGCCTGCCTGGAAGGTCTACATGTACCTCACGGTGAAGCATGGACGAAATGGGCATGACGGGGCTAATTGAATGGCAACACACTCCGTCGGACGGGCAAGCATCCGATGAGAAATTAGCCCATCTGTCGAGATGCAGGCGCACTCCTTAGGTCGACGACCAAATTAGCACAACTTGACATGACCTTTGGCCAGTCACCGACGACGCCCCGCCTAAACAGCCAATCACCCACCGCCAATGTCAGCAGCAGAGGCGTTAGCTCAGCAAGCCGTGCTAATTATGCCCATTTCCCCTCTTTCCGTCCCGCTCTCCTGCCCGGCCTAGCCTCCACACCAAAGCAACCTGCTGCTGCTGGCCTCCTCCCTACCACCTTGGCAAGCTTGGGTAGCTTACCTGCATCTCCATCCACCAGACCAAGACCATCCACCAGACCACCTCAAGCAAGGTCGGCTATCGAGTCCACCGCGTCCAGCGTACCCACGGCATCACTTGCTGCCGGCCGCGTCGTCTCGGCATACCTCTACATGTACTCTTGGCCAGCGGCATCCGCGCGCCTCTCGCACAGCAAGATTGATCGAGAGCGACTCATCAACTCGTCCGTCCTCTCTCTGACCCATTTTCCCTCGGAGAAGCCAGAAGAGCACATGGGCACTGACTGCCTCGCTTCCTGACGGCAGCCTGCTGCCGATCCTGGCCATACGCGGCCACCCTTCAACCGACGAGTGCACTCAACCCGCGGGGTCAAGGTCATGGACGCAGAGAGGCACAGAGGCAGAGAGGCACAGAGGCAGAGAGGCACAGAGGCAGAGAGGCAGAGAGGGAGGTCAGAGCTCAAGGCGCAGGAGTCAGAGCTCAAAGCCTCGAGCTCACATGGATGCCAGATCCCTGCAGCCGGTAAGCGCGCATCGCACAAGGCACCCCTGTCCACCATCCACCACACCCCTCGAGCTACCCAGGTAGAGACGACCCTTTTACCTTGGAGGCCGAAGCAGAACGAGCTCGTCGACGAGACGAAGAGACGAAGAGACGGACAGCCGTGTGGCTAGCGCAGCACAGGTACATGCGCCCTGCCCACCATCCAGCTTTCCTCCTTGCCGTCTAGAATCCCAGCATCCTTCGACCATGCCCGGCTCAACCATGCCCGAGAGCCCCCGCGCCTGGTCGTCCTTCCCAAGACCGCCATGCCTTGCCCAGCCCCCCAGCCCGTTGGGGACGCGCCCGTGGCATCGGGGCTTTTTGTCTTTCAATGTCCCCCCATGTCCATGCCCATGCTTTTTTGGCTCGAGCAGGCTGTCAGATCTGGGGCTTGTGTCAGTGTCAGGGATAGGGATGTCTAGGAGTCTACTGTACAGGATCTCCGTCTGAGGAGTGCGTGCCCAACTGTCTAGCTTCCTGTCCGTCTGTCTTTCTGTCTGTCTGTTTACAGGTCTGTTCGGTATAAAGGAGACGTCTCGTCCCATCCTCCTGCGATCACGATCATAGCCCTCTTCAAGCAAGCCTTGACATCTCACACTCTTCTCTTCAACTCTTCTCTTCGTCTCTTCTCTTCACTTCAATCCTCTTCATCTCTTCACTTCACTACAAATCCTCGTACCAGCATCTGAATCCCAGCCTCTCCACACCAAGAGTCCGCTTTTGTCAACGGCCGATCAACCCGCCCTCGCCAAGCCACCCGACTCGCCCTACCAGATTCTCTAAGCGCCCAACTTCACCACCTGGCCTACACTAGGCCTCTTTCATCTCTTGCCGCTCTTCAACCACCCACTTTCTGAGAATAGATTGACTCTCTTCTCAGACACTTTCTCAGACACTGCATCTATATCTATCATTCTTCCCATTCCCCTTGCCATTGTCGATCTCTCCTGCGCTATCCAGGCTACCGCTACCAACTGCATCTGCACTTTGGCCCCTGATCGCATTCTCGGAACGCACACATCACATACCACGTCACACAACACGCAACACAGCACAACTCACAGACACCACAGCCATGCTCGCCAGGTCACTCCTCCTCCTCGCCTCCCTGGCGCTCGCCGCTGCTTCGCCCGTCCGTAAGCAAGAGAGCAGCAGCTGTGCGCAGAAGACGCCCACACTTCCTGTCAACGGTGGCGGTACGTC